TTCCAGAGGTGCAAGCTGGATTCAGAAGAGGACGTGGAACAGGGATATCATAGCTGTTGTCAGATGGATCTTGGCTCAAGGCAAAGAATACCAGAAAGATATTTACTTGTGTTTTATTGACTATGCAAAGGCATTTGAATTGTGTGGATCATGACAAATTATGGATAACATTGAGAAGAATGGGAATTCCCAAACACTTGATTGTACTAATGAGGAACCTGTATGTTGAGCAGGAGGCTGTCGTTCGAACAGAACAAGGGGACACTGCATGGTTTAAAATCAGGAAGGGAGTGCATCAGGGTTGTATCCTTTCACCATACTTATTCAATCTATATGCTGACCAAATAATTCAAGAAACTGGATTATATGAAGAAGAATGCAGCATCAAGATTGGAGGAAGGCTCACTAACAACCTGCGATATGCTGACGACACAACTTTGCTTGCTGAAAGTGAGGATGACTTGAAGCACTTACTGAAGAAGACTGAAGAACAACATATAGCAGACAACATATAGCACTGGGCGAGTTGGCTGCAAGGGATCTCTTTCAAGTGCTGAGGAGCAAAGACATCTCCTTGAAGGCTAAGGTGCGCCTGACACAAGCCATGATATTTTCAATTGACTCATAGGCATGCGAGAGCTGGACAATGAATAAAGAAGAGCGAAAAAGAATTGATGCTTTTGAGACGTGGTGCTGGCAAAGAAGTACACGGACTGCTAAAAGAACTAACAAATCTGTCTTGGAGGACGTACAGCCGGAATGCTTCTTGGAAGCGCTTAACGGCCAGACTTTGTCTCACCTACTTTGGTCATGTTGTCAGAAGGGACCATTGTCTGGAGAAGGATGTCAGGCTTGGTAACAGGGAAAGTCAACAGAAGGCCCTCAATAAGATGGGCTGACACAGTGGCTGTGGCAATGGGGTCAAGGATAACAGGGATAGCAGAGTGGCACTGGGCCAGACGGTGTTTCATTCTGCTGTGCATAGGATCGCTGTGAGTCTGAGGTGATTTGACGGCACCTAACAACAACAACACATTCAAAGCAATTTATACATTCAATGCAATCCCAACCCAGATCCCATCAACATTCTTTAAGGATACAGAAAAACCAATCACTCATTTTATATGGAAAGGAAAGAGACCTCAAATAAGCAAAGCAATATTGAAGAAAAAGAACAAACTACGAGGTTTTACACTCCTGGATCTCAAAACTTACTATACAGCCACAGTAGTCAAAACACCCTGGTATTAGTACAATGACAGACACAAAGACCAGTGGAACAGAATTAAGAACCCAGAAATAGATCCATCAACCTATGGTCTGCTGATTTTTGACAAAGGGCTGAAATCCATTAAATGGGGAAGAGACAGTCTCTTTAACAAATGGTGCTGGCAAAACGAATATCCATTTGCAGAAAAATGAAACAAGATCCATACCTCACACCTTACACAAAAACTAACTTCAGATGGATCAAAGACTTAAATGTGAAACCTAAAATTATAAAGTTCCTCAAGGAAAAAATAGGGGCAAAGTTAGGGGTCCTAATATGGGGCAATCTACTTCCGTAGTGATACTGCCTCAGAAACCCAAGGAGAGGTCGCTATGAGTTGAGTCTGACTCGACAGCACATAACAACAACAACAACAACAACAACAATACATGGCATAGAGAGACTATCAAGCATAACCTAAAATGCACAAATAGCAGAAGATAAACTAAATGAATGGGACGTTCTAAAAATTAAATTTTTATATGCTTCAAAAGACTTCTCCAAAAGAGAACCTACAGATCAGGAAAAAATATTCGCCAACGACATATTTGACAAGGGACTCAGCTCTAAAATTTATAGAAAACTCAACACCTCAACAACGAAAAGACAATCCAATTTAAAAATGGGCAGAAAACATGAACAGACACTTCAGCAAAGAGGATATTCAGGCAGCCAACAAATAGAAGAAATGTTCATGATAATTAGCCATTCGAGAGATGCAAATCAAAACAACGAGATACCATCTTGCCCCAGAATTAACAGCAAAGTTCAACAAGACAGAAAATAATAAATCCTGGCAAGGATGTGGAGAGATTGGGACTCTCACACACTGCTGATGGGACTGTAAAATAATACAACCACTGTGAAAAAGCAGTACGGTGATTCTTTAAAAAGTTGGAATTAGGAATACTATTTAATTCAGCAATCCATTAGTAGATATATATCCTAAAGAAGTGAGAGCCAGAACAAGAGCAGATATATGCACACCCATATTCAATGCAGCACTATTTACAATAGCAAAAAGATGTAAACAACCTAGGTGCCCATCAACAAAATCAAGGATAACCAAACTACGGTACATACACATAATGGAATACTACGCAACACGGAAGAATAATGTAGAATCTACAAAACACCATGGATGGGCTTGGAGGACATTATGCTGAATGAAGTAAGTCCATTACAGAAGGGGAAAATTGCTATTAGTTCATTATTATAAAAAGTCAATGCAAGGTTTACATATGAAAGGAAACATTGTTGGTTACCATGGGTCAGAGGGGAGGAGAACGAACACTGTAAAAATTAAAAATAAATAAATAACATGATAACAGAAACATGGGAAAATGAGGATTTAATTAATGTTCACATTTTGGGGATTGGATTTACGTTCATTCTTACCCATGAAGTCAGATAGTGTTTTATTTAGCTAGTGTAAATGTTAAATTGACAAGTATTTCTAAACTAAATAAAAATGTCCACAGAAGAAATGGAATAATCCATAAAAAAGGCAATGAAATAATTTTTTTACTTTTTTTTTTAAAAAGTCTTAAATACATATTCCACTGACCTTAGACTTGATATCTCTATGTAACACACGTTTCTTGTGAATGTGATTTACTCCAAGGCACATTTGTGTAAACCAATTAAGTATCTGTAAGGAAAAAGTAAGCGAAATCTACAGCAATGCAGTGACTGGTTCATGTTACACCTAAATTCCAAAGAATCATCTCTGGCTTCAGGTAGATGAGAGTATTACATAATTTAAGTGCAAAACTCATGAATATTGTTGCATGGCTCAAATATGATTCAGTGTTGTCTGGAGAAATTTAGAAAAGCTACAAATCCCACATTCCACTATCTTATGCATGATCCAAATAGCAATTTATTTTAATAAAACTTCTACTATATTTTTCTTGCATTTAACCAAATAAAAGTATTTTTCAAATGCATATATAAAAGTAATTCGGAAATGAAATGCTGTTAACTTTTTACAGTATAAGCAGTATGTTGGGTTTTCATTTACTTTTTCAGAATATTCACATATTAATATTAAAGCATTTCATTATATTGTCAACAATCCTTTAAGGACACCATTTTCTGCTTATAAATCCCCACTCAGTATAATATCTAGAATTTCCAGATGCCTCAGGGCCTAAAATTAAATGTTCCAAACAGGTATTTTTTTCTTTTCTGCTATAGAAATCCATCCATTTGAAGCTGAGGTTGACCACTTTCTCAAGAAGCCCATATTGTTAACAATACAACTTCTAAATGAAGAATATTTATATCAATATACTTTCATAACATGTTATAACCTAAATCAAACTAAGATCCATTTAAGTTATTTATTTCGATATTTTTCTTAGTCAATTCATTTTAAAAAAATTAGTGTGCAATTTTCCATTAAGAAGACAGTAAGTCCCAGATTTAAGAGAATAGTGCTAGCTTTAGAAGGCAAAAGATTCATAACAGGCACTTCCAAGAAACAAAAAGGGTAATCTTCATTCTTTTAGTGATTTAGTACTACAAATTAAAATCCATCTACATTTTAAGATTTCCGTACAGCAAAAACAAAGAATTTTAAATACATGCATATCTACTACAAAATACAATAATAAAATTCTGAAATTCTTCTAAATATGGAAATTTTATTCTTTGATGTTTTAGAACTCATACCAATTTTACTTTCTAAAAAGATTTCATTTTGGTGACACTAAGTACTAACACTAATATAGAAATCAGTTGTTTCTAAAGAGTGTGTTAATAAAGTCACAGATACCAATGCTTTTATTTTAATGTATATAAATTATGTGAAAAAAAGTTGTTTCTAAACCTTGAGGCAAGCTATGTAAGGAAATCTCTTACCATATCTTCAGGAAATAATTTCCCTTTTTGGAGTTTAATCTTTTCCATTAGGTCCCCTCCACTGCAATATTCCATCACAATATACAAATGTCCATCAGCTAAAGCAAATATAAGATGTGTTAGAAAAGCCACAGTGGTTATAAATTACATTCAGAAATGTGTATTTTTTGAGGGGATTCATAATTACCTTCAAATGTTTCTTTAAAGGCAACGATATTGGGGTGTTTCATTTTGGCTAAAAGAATAGCCTCCTTCCTAGAATTCTGTGTATCAGAGAAAGACTAGAAAAAGATTTTAAATACAAATAACTTTAATACTGCGTTTTTAAATAGAGAGCTTTACTATAACATAGTTTGTATGACACTTCAATATGGGATGCAGTTTTGTAGTACTGCCCTTTTCTCAACTTAAGTTTATCAAACTCAAAGACAAAACATATAGTGCTTTTTCAACTATGGTTATATTTTATAGACTTGCATTAACCCCTTGCATCCTCACAAGTACAAAATTGTACTTCTAAGTTTTAACATCAGCCTAATCATAATGTAGGAGCTCTGGTAGCATAGTGCCTAAGGCACTTGCCTGCTAACCAGACGGCTGGCGGTTCAAACCCACCAGCCACTCCTCGGAAGGAAGGTTGGGCAATCCTACTTCCGTAGTGATACTGCCTCAGAAACCCAAGGAGGGGTCGCTATGAGTCGGGGCCCGACTCGACGGCAAACAACAACAACAACAACAACAACAATCATAACGTACGGAAGGTCTGGTGGTATAGTGCCTAAGGCATCTGACTGCTAACCAGAAGGTTCAAACCTACCAGCCACTGCTCAGAAGGAAGACTGAGCAATTATTTCCACAGAGATAATGTCTCAGAAACCCAAGGAGGGGTCACTATGAGTCGAACTGACTCAATGGCATTGAGTTCAGTTTTTTTTTTAATCATAATGTAGCTAGAACATCTAGCATGCAGTCAAAGTTGGCATATTCTTAAGGGGGAAAAAAAACTAGGGATTTAACATTTAGATTGTCTACATTATTGTATCAATCTACTGGCCCAGATTTTTTAAAAAAAGGAATATATTAGTGCATTATTGTATCAGGGATGGACAAAGACAATTCATCCAATGGTTCAAAAGCAGGTTTCTAAAATTGTTTACCCCCTAACTTACAGTATAGGGATAAAATCTTGAATGATTTATCTTACAATCAAGAAAGTACTACTATTCTTGGTCACAGCCAGCTACCCAGAGGGACTGAGTAGTTGAACCTGTGGGCTCAGGACCACAGTCACAGGGGACATCAAGCTCAACTGGTATAACATACTACACAAAACACTGTCCCACATCCTACTTTGGCAAGTAGTGACTGGCATCTTAAAAGCTTGCAAGCAGCCATCTAGATTACAACGATGGGTCTCTCCTCATCCAGAGCGAAGAAAAATGAAGAAAACCAAAGATTCATGGAAAGAATTAGGCCTAGCGACTGGTACACCATGCAATCTGCAGCCTATACGACTATGAGACCAGAAGAACTAGATGGTGCCCGGCTACCAGTGTCAACCACTTGGAGGGGGATCTATGTAGGAGATCCTGGATAGAAAGGGAGAACAATGTGGAACAAAACTCAAAATCATTTTGAGGGAAAAGCAAGGGTGGGGGGATCAGGTTTGCTGGTCCAATAGAGCCTGGTGGAACCACTGAGAACTATGGTCCCTAGCTGCCCTTCGGGTCTGGAATTGAACCCACACCTGTGGCTTCCAGCCAAACAAAAGACAGGCATATGAAGTGAACATTTACACTAGGTAGATACATTCCTTGGAGAGAACAATCATGGGAGAAAGAAGGGCTGTTTATGCCCAGGGAGACAGCTCAGGGGGCAGGAGTGCATGGAGGGATGGACACAGAGAAGAGGTAACTAACGGGAGGAAGTGGGAGGGGAGCTACTGCACTGGGTAAACTGTAGTCAATGTCATGAGACAAAGTGTGTGTGAAATGCTGTATGCAAAGAATTTGCTCTGTAAACTTTCACCCAAATCACAATAAAAAAAAAGAAGAGGAGGAAAAAGAAAGTATTATTGACTACATGCATTATTTCCAACTGGGAAAATGCAAATCAATGAGCTTATGCCAAATCTACTAAATCAGAAACTCTGGAGTGGGGCCCAGCAATCCGTATCTTAATCAGCTCTCCAGATGATTCTCACCACTTGTCTGTCAGTTTGTCGTACTGTGGTGGTTTGAATGTTGCTGTGAGGATGCAGGCTATGCCACTGATATTTCAAATACCAGCAGGATCACCCATAGTTGACAGGATACAGTGGAGCTTCCAGACTAAGACAGATTCAGAAGGAAGGGGCCATCCACTTCCCAAGGAATTGGCCAGTGAAAACCTTATGAAGAGCAGTGAAGCACTGTCTGATATATTACTGGAAAACGTTATGAACAGGCCTGCAACACTGTCCAATATAGCGCCGGAAGATGAGACCCTCAGGTCTGAAGCCATTCAAAATATGAATGGGGAGGAGCTGCCTCCTCAGTAGAGCTGACCTTAATGATGTGGATGAAGTAAAGCTTTCAGGACCTCCATTTGCTGATGTGGCATGACTCAAAATGAGAAGAAACAGCTGCAAACATCCATTAATAATGGGGACATGGAAAGTACAAAGTATGAATCTAGGAAAATTGGAAGTTGTCAAAAATGAAATGGAATGCATAAAGATCAACATTCTAGGCACTAGTGAGTGGACATGGACTGGTTTTGGCCATTCTGAATCAGACAACCATCTGATCTACTACTCCAGCAATGAAAACTGAAGAGGAATGGCAGGGCATTCATCATCACAAAGAATGTTTCAAGATCTATCCTGAAGTACAATGCTGTCAGTGATAGGATAATATCCATAAGCCTACAAGGGAGATAAGTTAACAATACTATTATTCAAATTTGCACACCAACCACCAAAGCCAAAGATGAGGAAATTGAAGATTTTTACCAACTTCTACAGTCTGAAATTGACCACACATGCAATCAAGATGTGTTGATTATTATTGGAGATCGGAATGCAAAAGCTGGAAACAAGAATCATTGGTAGCTGGAAAATATGACCTTGGTGATAGAAATAATGCTGGAGATCACATGACAGAATTTTGCACGATCAATGACTTATTCATTACAAATACCTGCTTTCAACAACATAAGCAGCAACTATACACATGGACTTTACTAGATGGAGTACATAGGAATCAAGTTGCCTACATCTGTGGAAAGAGGCTCTGGAGAAGCTCAATATCTTCAGTCAAAACAAGGTAAGGAAGCTGATTGTGGAACAGACCATCAACTGCTCATATGCAAGTTCAAGTTGAAGTTGCAGACAATTAAAACAAGTCCACGAGAGCCAAAATATGACCTTCATTACATCCCTCCTGAATTTAGAGATCATCTAAAGAACAGATTTGATGCACTGAACACCAATGGCTGAAAACCAGAGGATTTATGGGATGACATCAAGAATATCATCCATGAAGAAAGCAAAAGTTCATTAAAAAGCCAAGAAAAGAACAAAAGACCAAAATGGATGACAGAAGAGACAATGCAACTTGCCCTTGAACAGAGAGCAGCTAAAGCAAATGGAAGAAATAATAAAAGAACTCAACAGAAGATTTCAAAGACCAGTTTGAGAAGACAAAGTAAACTATCATAATGAAATGTGCAAACACTTGGAGTTAGAAAACCAAAAGGGAAGAACACGCTCAGCATTTCTCAAACTGAAAGAACAGAGAAAAACAATTCAAGACTTGAGCTGAAATACTGAATGTTTCTATGGACAATTTATTGAATGATGCAGGAAACATCAAAACAAGATGGAAGGAATACAGACAGTCACTGTACCAAAAAGAATTGGTCGATGTTCATCCATTTCAGCAGGTGGCATATGATCAACAACCAATGGTACTGAAGGAAGAAGTCAAAGCTGCACAGCAGGAACTGGTGAAGAATGAGGCTCCAGGAATTGACGGAATATTTGAGATGTTTCAACAAACAGACACCACGCTGGAGGGCACTTACTCATCTATGCCAAGAGATGTGGAAGACAGCTACCTAGCCAACTGACTGGAAGAGATCCACATTTGTACCCATTCCAAAGAAAGGTGATCCCACAGAATGTGGAAATTATCGAACAATATCATTAATATCATAAACAAGTAAAATATTGCTAAATATAATTCAAAGACAGTTACAGCCGTATATTGATAGAGAACTTCCAGCAATGCAAGTTGGATTCAGAAGAGGACATGAAATAAGAGATATTGTTGCTGATGTCAGATGGGTCTTGGCTGAAAGCAAACAATACCAGAAAGATGTTTACTTGTGTTTTATTGACTATGCAAAATCATTCGATTGTGTTGTTGTTGTTGTTATTAAGTGCCGTCGAGTCATGTCCGACTCATGGCAACCCCATGCACAGCAGAACGAAACACTGCCCGATCCTGAGCCAGCCCCACAATCCCTGCTATACTTGAGCCCATCATCGCGGCCACCGTATCAATCCATCTTGTTGAAGGCCTCCCCCTCTTTCGCCGACCCTCCACCCTACCAAGCATGACATCCTTCTCCAGGGAATGGTCCCTTCTGACAACATGACCAAAATAGGTGAGACAAAGTCTG